ATGCAGTAATTAATTTGTGTAAATGTTAGAATGGGCTGCCCAAAAAGGATTGATTATGTTTCTAGTGTGGTCAGGTGTAAACAAATCGGAAATAAAGGTCCGAATGATACACAAAAAACGATTTTGATGGGGGTAAACTAAAAAAGAACTTTTAAGAATTTAAAGAATAGATAAAGAGAGTTTTGATATTTTTGATCCTAAAACGATCAATTTTAGGTCAAATTTGATGTACTATGGCTTGTTTTGAAGCCAGAGATGAGCTCTGCAAATTCAGTTATGAGGTATTGGTATGTTATTAAGCCCAGTTTGCCAAGAAGGGCAAAACTTTGGGGAGAGAACAGTGTTTTGTCCGTCTGTCCTTTAAAATTAGATATCTCAAGAACGATGAGAGATAAAGGCTTGAAACTTTACAGATATATGTAAAAAAATTAGCTGGACAATTGTTATTAAGTGTCAGAGGTTGTTAACTTAATAAAATTTTGTGTAAATTGAAAACAAGTAAAAAATATTTTGGACGAAATTTTGTGTACAAGTAATAAGCAGAAAGAGTTTTTTTTTAAAATTAATTACTATTTAATTATTATTTAATACAATGTTTATTAATAATTATTAAAAAAATAAAAAATAAAAAAATTTAAAATTAAAATATAACCTGAACACGTAATATGGCTATCAATATCAATAATAGTTCTGAACTAGGCAATAGAATATTTAATAGCCAATGCCACAAAACTTATTGCTAATACATATTTCATGTGCCTAGAACCATATATTGGATTGACAGCTACTACACTTTTAAAAAAATTTTCCCAAAATTTGAGGAATCTACATTAAAATGATAATTAATATTATTTTAAGTTAATGTTTTAATAAATTTTATGACGACTTGATTACGTTTACTTAGCCACATTTGTGGTATATAATTTAATAAATTTTCTAGAGAAAATCTATTACTATTTCTTATAAGAAATTTAATATCTTCATATAGATATTCTTGCTCAAGTTGCACAATGCTTATAATTTCTTGAACATGTTTATGTTGATCCTATGTTGGGTATTCCACTGTTCAATGAGTTTTTCGTTTGTCTCATGTTGATTTTAACACAAATCCTTTAGTTTAAATATTTCTTCGCAATATTCATTTATTCATTTTTTTAATTCTATTATTTCCTCACTTTGGTTTTCAATTTGTGACTCTAATTCCTTAATCTTTTCGCTAAGATACATTACATATTCACTATTATCCTGATCACTTCGATTTTCATCAAATAATTTTTTAGCTCCTTTAGGCTCTACAAATAAATGCTGCTTATCCCTATTCATTGTCTCTTCTTGAATACTAGAGTTAAAAATAGAATTATTATCAGAATTAGTATCGACTCGAGATTTTTTGACTTTGTGAACAGATAAATTATCTAATAGCCACTAATGAAAATGGTTTTTAGCAACAACTTGATTGTAATGATTTTGGCAAATTGAATAAGAACTCAAATTAAAATAAAGATCTGCAAATTCAGGTATAAAAGTATAAAATAATGGAAGATGCTCAGCTGTTTTATTACTATCAGCATGTCTCCAGGTTTGTGACGCTACCATCTCGCAGACACTTAAGCCAATCATATTATGATAATTATCAACTAGTTCACTGAATATGCAAGGAAGATCTATGGCCTTTGGGTGAGAAGATTGTGACATTGTAGTTGATTTAATATGAAATGCTAAAAAAGAGACTAAAAAAGAGGCTAAAAAGAAGTTAAAGTTAAATTTAACAAAATATTTGCATTAGAGTTCTTGTATTTTCAGATTTCATGTACCTTTTTAAAAAAGACTGATCCCAAAGTATTATTAATTGATCCTAAAACTAGTCATTCTCACCTTTCGATTTGTATAACATTTAGCTGTATATAAATATTGCAAAAAGTCTTGATTTGCAGTTTGATATCTGAAAATTTGGTAAAAATCGGCAATCAATGGCCAATCAAATTTCTGCAGATTATTCCAGAATCGATTTCCAAATTTGGGGGTCATCTAAAGCAGAGGTGCATCACGTGATCAACAGCCAATCAAATGATAGAATTTTGATGATCGCCAGCGAAGCAAAAAACAAAAAACCTGAAAAATACGAAAAACGGCAGCCTAAACCTACCTCAGGTCAGGGATGGTAAATGACCTGAAATGACCCAAATGACCCAAATGAAAAATGACTAGTCATTTGTTATTTCAAAGTTCAAATGACCTTAGAAGGTCATTTAACATATGTTGGTTAATATTCTAATACATTTTTACGAATCAGA